GAGGACATCTACTAATCAGTATTAACTGTTGTAGCCCATAGTTCTGTCGTGTCTTCTGCTGGAAGGAAAATGTGAACAGCTGCATTGCTGCTTCCTGTGCTACAGTTGTTTGTGAATGAGTATAGGAAGGATCTTCCGAAATGACAATGCAATGGTTTTCCAGTAACGCAGATTTTAATCTAGCTTGTCCATTTGTGTTTATTTTCTCATAAATTCTAGTAAAGCTGAGGGGAATGATAACAAAGGAGAATGGCTAAATAACTTTGTCAAAAGTGAGTGGTATCAGGTGACAGAGGAGGAAGAAACAAAGATTGAGAGGGGGAAAAAAACTGAAAAAAGAAAAAAAAAAGGAATTAAAAGTAGCAGCCCGACTTGTCATTAAAACAAGAATTGCTGTCTTTCGAAAATCTGAGTTACGTTTTTGGAGGTGGGAAGGGAAAAAGTCGAAGCAACTGGCCTGGGGTTAGAAGAAGACTGAAGCTGCCGTGTTTCAAAATACTGTACATTGCTCCTTTGGCGTGTGTTTTAGAACACTGTATGTTTACAGCTTTTGCTCAAAAAAATTAGTGGTGGCTGCAAAGAAAGAAGGAAGAGAACAAATACTTCTGTTTTTATAGGATATGTGTAGGACAAAAAAAATCTGTTAATCTTTTTTCTGTGAAGAAAAGGTAATGTCTTGTGGCTAGCACAGAGCCACAGTAATCCAGAAGAGCTGGCTTTGCTGCGTGGCTCTGCCACAGTTTATTTTAAGAGACCTCGGACCATCCACGTACTGGTCATCAGTGCAAGAGTTAGACAATTTTGTGCTTGTTGGTCACCGAAGAAAACACAAATGGAGTCCTGAGAGCATGTCCTAGGACCCTAACGTGTTTGTTTCCCACCTACCCACCCTTACCCAGTGATCTATGGAATCATGCTGATTTGTGTGCTTTTTCTCTGTCCTGCTGCACCCTGGTTCATTTTAGGCCAAGTATAAATGTGTCAGCAGAATGGATGAGGAATACCCACTCCCCTGCCACAGAACATCTTCTAGTCTAAGGTCCTGAGAGTCAGCAGGGGAGGGGAAAGATAAGCTTGCGATGCAGCCCAAGCTTTGATGTGCTCAGAGCATCTTCAGAGAAGGTAACACTAATACAGTTGTAGTGTCCTTACAATATGAGGGATAGAACATGAGTGGACACACTGTTATTTTTGACGTAGCCTCTCAGCTTGAAAAACAGCCTGCAGGTGACAAAGGTGCCTGAATTTCTTGTGTTTCTTAGCTGAAAACTGTATGAACTATTAGGCTTCAGAAGTCTTCTGTGAGGGACGGTGTTCTGAAAATCTGAGTTCTCAGATGTAGGAGCAAAGAAATAAACTAGATATTCATTTTATTGAAATCAAAGAATTTTTAAGACCCCTTTAAAACAGAGGAGCGTAAATTCTTGTAATGCATTTGTCTGCACGTGAAATAACTTGCTAGTGACAGTCATAATTTACTCTATTCTGATTTTCCAGAAACCTTGTTTACATTACAGTGTTGTGGAAGGAAATAATCCTACCTTGTCATGCCTCTGTCCTCGCAACTGTCATGCAAAAGGGGGAAAAAAGGAGTGAAATTTCAAACCACGAAAAATATACTCTGGCCTTTTGACATCAGTTGAAGGGTTCCAGGAGTAGAAGAACCTGAATAAGTTGTACTTAGGTAGAGATGAGAGGGAGAAGAAAGCTCATGGGCACACTGGTTTTAATATCTCAGTTCAGATGTTTTTATTTTAATGTGTACAGGCCTCTTGTCTGCTGCAGTCCCAGTGGCAGGCTGAATTAACTGGGAACTACATCAGCATACTGAAGGAAGTTCAGAATGTACTGTGTTATACTTTGATTTGGGAGATAATGGTAAAAAAATAATTTGATTAGGGTTTTCCGTTCACTTCAGTGGGTCTGGAAGGCCCCTGGGTTTGAAAATGTCAACGTTGTTTTATGAATTCGTATAGGAGAGAATTGTGATAGGAATGCTTGAGAATTATTCTTAAAAATTGTAAAATTTAAGTGCATTTCTAGTAAATAGGTAGGCTAAGCACTGCTTTTCCTGTCTCCCTGTAGATGGAGTTCTTTTGTCTAGATAAATACGAAATTGGGTTTGATTTTATTTTTAAAGGCATTCTTCCAGAGTTTGTAAATTATCAGGGATCATAAATCTCTAAATTTTACTTGCTGTTTAGTGACAACATGCATTTTTCGATATTTAATATCAAAGCAGATGCAAGGGTCTAAACCAAAGTGTAGAACAAAAGTACTTGGAAGCTTGAAACTGTCCTATTTTTTTTATTAATTGAAAACAGTTTAATCATAGAATTTGAATTAAGAAGACATTTTACAACATTCCAGAAATATATTGCCTGAAATGTTTCTTAAATCTTTCTGCCTATCTCCTGTAAAAGCAAACTTGAAATACCAGGAAGTTTTCGTATGCTTTTGAAGGCTGTGTCATCTGTTTCAAAGCTTTGTAATTTATTGAGAACTACCCCTGGATTCATTTGAAATGCCTGGGTCTTCACTATTTTTACAACTGAACATAAAGATTGGTAAAACTGCGTGTTTAAAAAGTTGTGCTTAAGATACTGAAATTCTCAGTGCATTTATTGATTTAATTTTATCATGAAATTTAATACCGTTTTCTGTCAATGATCTGTTTTAATATTTTAACAGAAGCCTGGCTCTGCAAATAAAGGGATGAAAATAGGGTGAAAAATGGGGAACAAATTGCAGGGGAAAGTTTCTTGGAATGAGCTCAGTTAAACTGTGGCACTCTCTCACAGGGAAGCTCTTTTGTTTGGGGTGTTACGAAACCATCCCACAGAAAAGGACAAAGCAATAGATAGTAAGAAGCAATCAAAAAAAAAATTCTCCTGGTGCCAGCCACTGCCTGTATAGCTCATCACATGACCTAGCAGAATCATAAATATTTGAGGAAGAAAAAAATATCCTAGCAGAGGAATTAACATTGATGTGATATCTGTAGCTTCTCTGACTGTTTTGCTGTCTGTGCTGTGAAGAAGAATGTTTGCCCTGTGAATTGTTCGAAGTTTAATTTTCTGGTAAGAAATACCAGAAAAGCATTCTTTTGAAACAATTGCTGCCTGTAGTCGTCAGTCTCCATGGTACCTTAGTGTGTGTGCCATATGGTAACGATGGTACACGCTCATTCATTTTCTTTAAATGCTTTGTAACTCATTTTGTTGCTATTAAACCAAATCTGTTTTGGTACCAAACTTGGTAGTAGCATCAGTGATTTACAATTACTGGTACAACTGTACCATATAAGGGGACATCACAGCACGGCATATAAATTATGTGCATACTTGCACTGCCAGTTAGTGAACAGTTTTCCATGAGTTATCTGATATTTCATACAGATTTTTAAAATTGTGGGTGGGGGGAAGATTGAACATGGAGAAAGAGCGAATTTAACCTATGTGAGGACTGCTGAGATCACATGGCTGAATTTAGGCACATGTTTGTAAAACTGTCTGACTGGTTGAGTATGAGGGCGTATTTCTGCACACATATAAATAGGCTTTAAAAAATGTCAATAATCTCAAAACTGACGAACTATGGAGTGCTTTTGGTAATTTGGATATCTTATGTCTCTATTATTCTCCTTAAAATTGTCCTCAAGTAGGAAAAGCAACAGTCTCATCTGGAAGGATAATTTATTAACCAGTTGATTTTGAAAGTTAGCTGTGCAAACTGTTGAAAATTAACAGCTCTCGCCATCTGAAGTTTGTATTCTGGTGTAACAACATCTATTTGACCTCGCATTTCTGCTTAACGTGCTTCTTGTGATACTATGGTTATACATCTTAAAAGCGGTAGTGGAGGTAGTGTGTGATTATTGACCTTTAAAAACATGTCTGTAAATAAAATCTTTAAATTCTATATATTCCTGTAAAGCATCAGTCTGTTTTGTGGCTTCTAGAATCTGTTTCTTTGGCCAGCATGAGAAGGATAGGTACAGAAACAGTACTGCCAGTCTGAAAAGTTGTCCTAGGGTTTCCCTGTTGCTGATCTACCACGGCCCGGGGGATTTGGAGAATTAAGCCTTACTGATTCTAAGCACTCTCACAGAAAGGGATTTTGAGGAAGTTTGCATGAGTCGGTGTAATAAGCCAAATGTTTGTTTCAGATGTGTTTTTGTGAAGGAGGAACATTAGAAAGGTCTTCCTTTCCGGCTTACAAATATTAGGTCTTAATTTTACATAATGAAAAATGCCCATCTCCATCGTTCTGTTTTGGAAATCTTCGAATGCTGCTACCTCCCTGAAAGTTGGTAAATGTACAGAATTTATGAATGTGTGCAGACTAAGGGCTGCTTTTTTTTGTAAAACAGCTGTTTCAACGTTTGTGTACCTCATCCTGCTGTGCTTCATGCTGATGTTCCTAGTCTCTAGACTGGGAGGGTCTCAGTGGTACTCTGAAGTCTGAGTCATTTTGTAGTTGTGCAGTGGTGCTGAAATTGTCTAGCCAAATCTTTCCACTTCTTTTCAATATGGTTTTCTCCTCTTTCACGTGAAATCCAGACTGCTTTGTATTCTGACAACATGCCTGCGTTGCTGTCATTCCATACGTGCTTGTTCCTCACTGTTGTTTTTCTTTGCTCCAAGCTCCACAGCTGTTTCCATCCAAGCTTGTATGCCTTGAGCAGCTTTCCGTGTGCCCAATCCTCTCCTCTTGGTTCCTCCTGTAGTGTGCTCTTTTTTTGCAGAGCTGTTAAACAAGTTTATAGTCATTACCTTCGGATCATCTAACTTCAGAATTCCTGCTTTTTTGCTGTATGTAAACAGAAGGTTATGGGGAAAAATGACTTGACCTATTTTTACACCTTTTTACATTTTTGTTTGTTCTTTATTGCCATAAAATAATGAGAACTTTGCAATATCTGATTTTTAAGCCCAAATGAGTAATTTTCCCATGTGTTTAAAACTGTATTAATTTTGCACTTTTACTGTTGTAGGAGGTTGGTGAGCCATTCAAGGAGGAGAAGGCTGTTGCTAAATACTTACGTTTCAACTGTCCGACAAAATCCACCAACATGATGGGCCACCGAGTTGATTATTTTATCGGTAGGGTTGCTTTTAAGCAGAGAATGAAACTTTCTTTTTCTAACGTTGTACTTGGGGGAGGCAGGGGGACTGTTTTTGTTTTATTATTAGTGCTTTTTCTAATAACTACTGATCTTACAGTTTGGTTTTGAAAACTTATCTAGGTATTAGATAGCCATAAAATTAATCTTATCAGCTTGAAGTAAACACAATAAACTTTTCTTTCTGGACAACTACACACCTTTAAATCACAGCAAGTGATGTATTTCAGAATAGTGGCTAGTCTTACTTTAAAGATTGAGACGATGTGGAACATCACCAGAACTGACTGACTGGTTGGTTTGGTTCAAGGAATATAGACTAAATGTTAAAATCAATGTCATTAATTTTAAAGCATTTTTTAATTCCATTTTTCCCTCTAGCCTCAAAAGCTGTGGATTGCCTCCTGGATTCTAAATGGGCCAAGGCAAAGAAAGGAGAAGAGGCTTTATTTACAACCCGAGAGTCTGTAGTTGATTATTGCAACAGGTATGACCTAGCCTCATTCATCATTTTTATTAATGAGAGTAGTTGTCAGGATGCCTTAGATATTTAGGAACGAATTTCACTTGGGCTCCTTTGATAAAAGAACTTCCTGCATTCTAAAACACTTGTGGTTGTATGTAAAAGTAATAATTTCATTTTTATTACTGAGTTAGAGGGTGTAACACGAGAAATTGAAACAATGTAGTTTCATCACCTTTCTTCTCAAAACTCTCTCATGCTTTCATTATGCTGCTTGGGGCAGCACGATGAACAAAACGATTTTCCTAAATTTTGTAGTTATTTCAGGTTGGTAGGTTCAGAGCTCTCAAACATCTCCTTCCCATGGACGTAGTCTGCCATCGTGGCAGAAGCTGGACTTGGAGGTTGAGTTTATGCCTCTCAGTGGTATTTCTCTGCTGCTTAGTGTGCTCTGGGTGTTTTGTTTAGATGAATGGCATATTCTGACTATATCTCATTTGGGGCAGATGCATAGGGTTGAGGGGACTGCCTATATTTGTACAGCTCTGCGAAAGTTACTTAGAAATGAAGAATATGGCTTATATTTAGTCTTTTTTTCTAGCTTCTTTTAGATAGCCATCCAGCAAGGTGAGATTCTTCCTCCAGTTCCAGGGCCGAGGCAGGGCTGATCCTGTGTTTGAACTTTAATACTTTTGCTGATTTCTTCAAAAAAGTTTAGAAAAAAGCATTATTTTAATGCAAGCAGAAAAACAAGTTTTCCCTTCCAGAGTCTTTGGACCGAGGTAGGAGTCTGCGTGTTTGTTCTTCAGTTACTGAAGCATCGGATGAGATAACAGTTGGTTAAGTCCTTCAGCTCCAGCAGTGTAAGGAATGCTTGTGTAGTGTGTAAAGAACATGAGTTCAGCCCTCTGTTCTCTGGCACTGATCTTTATCACCAGTATCATTTCGTGCCCTGATGATCCATTTGGCACCATGCCATGTCTGCAGTTTGGTTTCTTTTGCTCACTTCTATATTGCTAATAATGCTAAGGACGCCTTTGGTCACTGAAGCCGTTTTCAGAGTTTTAAACATTAGCACTGCCTGCTTCCTTTGCCTTTTGGAAGGGATGGAAGAATATCCTAACACAGAAATAATCCCTTCAGTATAAAAGGCTGCTTAGGCTCTTTTTCGTATTAAAAACAAGTGCCTTAACTTTCTTGGTGTGGCTATTGCTTGTTTTACCTGCCCTGTCAAACAAAAAAAACAAATATCAGATCCTGCTCCTTCATCCTGTGTCAACTGCATCGATCAGTTACATGTTGAAAGCAAGTTACTAACTGAACTCGTAATGCTGCTCCAGTACATAGGGTCTCCTGGTACACTTATATATTGATCTCAGTTCAGTAAGTTTTCTTTTGAGGGGTTTTGTTCACAAATAAGCTACATCAATAATGCCTTGTTCAGCAGATCTATAGAGGGTTAACAGGTCAGGAATTAGCAAGCAGTCTGGACTTCAAGTGAAGGTCGGTCTCGCCTCAGGACCTGGCTGTTGGCCGCACTGGTACTGTGGCTCCACACGCTGAGCAGTAGCTCTGGCGCAGTCCCATCTTTTTATATTCCATCAGAGACAGAGGTAGCTCCTGCAAGTGGAAGAGCTGTGCTGCAGGCCAGACCTGCCCTGTGCACTGCTCGGTACCTGAGCCACCTAAACTTCTAGCTGTGAAGAAAAGTAGTTTCTCCCAAACAAGTGATTTTCTGTTGCTAGAAAGAGAATCCATGTCAACAGTTGTCTGAAGGAAGGGGGGCTTTTTGATACACCTGACACAACTGTTTGATAGTCAGCATGCACATGAGTTTAATTAGTAGAATGACTTCTCTCTCTTTAGCGAGTTTTCCCAATTTAGCAAGCAGTGCACCATAAGGATTTGGTCTGCAGCAAGAGATGAAAGAAACCAAGAACAAATCAAATTGTTTTGGAGCATAGGACCGGGCTTTTCAGTGTGAATGGGTGCTTGGATTTCACACCCTGCAGCTTCCTCTCAGTCTGAAGAGCAGTGTTCGCTACTGCTCTTCCTGTTCTGAATTTGGCTATGGTCCTTTCAAGGACCTTACTTGTTGGTGACATCCTTAAGACTACTAAATACTACTTCCTGGTGCCCCGCTGGCCATATCTAGTTGCTATAAGGTATCTTTGTAGCTGACGTGATTGGAATGCTTGCGTGTGTAACCCAGTTCCAACGGGGTGGTTTTATTCATCACACACCTCTTACCAAGGAACTTGATAAGCCATGTGTCCACTTTCTTATTTTTGCTATGAAATACATCGACATGGACTTGAAAATAGATATTAGACGGAGTTGTATTATTGGGAATGATAATTAAATTGACCTGATGACTTCCTCCATACTGTGTCTGTGTATTCATTTATATCTAGGCAAAATGCTGCCACAGCAAGTATGGGTTTTACCTAGTTTTGAGCAGATGAACAAACAAAGCAAAGCAAGAGGTGAGACACAGGATAATTAGGTCTGGTGTATTTAGTTGTAAATAGAGCAGGCGACGGTCACCTCAGTCTTTCAGTTGTGCTACTCATATTAGATAGATAATCTAGACTGGTATCTCATAACATAATCGAGTGTAAACATTATTATCGCAGCCACACTTAAATGTGTCTTTTAACTTTTTTCATTTTAAGACTCCTGAAAAAACAGTTCTTTCATCGAGCGTTAAAAGTGATGAAAATGAAACCTGACAAGGATACAAAGAAAGAAAAGGAAAAAGGCAAGGCTGAGAGTGGGAAGGAAGAGGAGAAAAAGAGCAAGAAGGAGAGTGGCAAAGATGAAAAAACTAAGAAGGAGAAAGAAAAGGAAAAGAAAAAGGATGGTGAAAAAGAGGAGTGTAAGAAGGTAAGTGCTGTCTGTAAGAGAAGAGACAAACCTGTAACAGAGAACACATTAACTGATGGTTAAGATTACATTGGCTTAAAAATATGGTTGGTTGTTCAAAAATGTGACATACCTGTTTTTGCCTGTTTTCATCTCCGAAATACGCTGCTTTTTTTTTTAACTTTAGAGTTGTTCTGATCTTGATGTAGATCCAAAAAAAAGGCTTCAGTGAGGCCTCTGTGTACCTCATCACCTTCTAATGTGGACTGAGTTAATAAAAATCTACTTCTCTTCAGCTGCCGCAGGCAGTGATGCCCTGTACGAGTGTACATGAGCATCGAGCGATGCACATGACCGAACGTCTCGAGCAGTGCAGCTGCACATGTGAAACAAAAACAGTTTTGCAGTGTTTGGTAATAAGAATGTTTGGAATGTAATATTTGATACTTGGTGCTTGTAAACAGCTCTGTGATAGTGTAGTTTTTGTGTGTGACAGCTCTATTACTGATCTGTGTAATGCCTTGTTTTCACAGACTTCTGATTTACTTTCTTTAAAGTTCAAACTATTACTATACAAGTTTTCATATGTTTTTTCATGTTTTCATTCCTGATTTATTTTATTAGCAGAGCAGAATTCCTGAATTAAAATGTTAGGAATCTGCAGGAGAAACTTGATGAAGGGATGTGGTTTTTTCTTCTGTATGCAGTGGTGTGAATCCAGTATGAGTTAGCAGGCTAGTGCTCAAAATTATTCCAGATGCTCCTGAGTGAAATTATGAAACATTTAGTGAGAGGTGGAGTCCATATGTACAGAGGTCTAGATCTCACAAGAAAGCTACATGGCTAATAAAACAATTATGAAAAAAAACAACTTGCTGGCAGTCTAAACATAGAAGTCAGTGTAAGATTACATAAATCTTGAGGTCCTTCAGAATGCTGGTTATGGAAGTTATGAACTCCTCCAAGTTCCTGTCATCTGGAGTGTTACATTATTAAAAGTAATGTTAATTTTTAAACTAATCATTAATTATTGAACTGATATTTTAGTGGATTATATAAGCCAGTGGGTAGTAACTTGAACAACACAGGGCGAAAATTAGAAAGTTAATTTCAAGCAAAGAGAAGGAAGGAGGAGACAGGGAAGAGGAAGTGCAAGATGCAGAAAGAGACTGAGGAGGGTAGAGAATAAACAGGCAGAAACTGCTTCTGAAAGGACGCCTGTGTGGTAAATACAGCACCAAGGAGCCCAGGAATTCTAATGAAGTTAGTGACTGTGGTGTACCGTGTTCTTGATCTTTGTGCAGGCTTTCTGTTAGTATCAGCAGAGCTTCGCTATGCATTTGAAGACGTCATGTAATCCTGAAGTCATAGTCTAGTCCTTAGACACTAACTAAAATAAATTTTCTCTTTCCTTTCTATTTTCTTTCATTTTTGAGGTACCCAGTTGGTAGTAAATGACAACAGGAGGAAATAAAGCATCTTAAGTTCACGTTCACGCTTCTTTTTTAAGCTTGTGAAAAGTTATCAGACTCAATGTATTAAAATACTAGAAATTAAAACCCTTTCTTTTTTATTATTTTTTTTAATAAATATAATTTGTGCTTATCCTCAGGATGAGACACCAGGAACACCCAAGAAAAAGGAAACTAAGAGGAAGTTTAAACTTGAGCCACACGAAGACCAGGTTTTCTTGGACGGAAATGAGGTAAGATTTATGGGTACTTTCTAACTTCTAGTGTCAATGTACTATTCTCAGATAATAGGTTAATTTACGGGATTTCTGCAGCCTCTGTCTTGACATGTTGAAAGAAAAATGAATGGCCATGTGATGGCTGATGCTGACACATCGTATTTTTAGGTATTTGCAAAGAGGTTAGAGGGAGATAAATGTAGGACAGTAACTCAGAAAAATCTAAAAGAAGGCTTAATTGCCCGTAGTTTACGTGTTGGTGGCCATGAAGTGAAATGTTTGTTCTCGGGGCGCAAGGGGGTGTTGGAGCAGGCTGCCCACAGCGGTGCTGCATCCTCTGTCCTCAGAGGCTTTCGAGACCGGATTGCGTAAAGCCCCTAGTAACCTGGGCAGGCCCCGCAGCTGACCCTGCTTTGAACAGGAGGGTGGCCTGGAGACTGCCTGAGGTCCCTTCCAACCCTGGTTACCCACTGGCCGTTGCCATGCTGAAATATTTCTAAACAAAACACAAGCCTTTTAGAACACGATGGTCAGTCACTGGCGGGGAAACCAAAACTACCTGCCATCCAGAGGCTGGCTGACTTTGTGATCTGGGCAGATGGGTGATGCCTAGGCGTTCCCGAGTTCTCATCCACTGAACTTGTGGTCTTAAATACTTCTCTGTACTTTCCTGGAAGACAAATAATTGAATTCTTTAACAGCTCTGTAAAGTACAGAGTCATATTTGTGCTGTTAAGATTTGGTAGAAGTGGTAAGTCTTCACTTCAGCAGAGTCATACTGTGCTCTGTGTTGAAGCTGTGTGTCACTGTACTGGAATCTGCCCTAAGATTCTTGTATAGCTTTGGTTATAAAACATACATGGCAGTGAACACTGTAAATAAATCACTTGTGCCGAAAATGTGCTTCCTTGAAGTATCTTTATTTTACTCTTCTCGATCAGTCCTTTTATAACCCACCTTGCTCTGTTTCATCCCAGCTGGCGTAGAGTCACAGCTGCCTCCGATCTTCTCCATTGTCTTGTACGTGGAGTAACCAGGATGGCACGCCACACTCAAAGTGAGGGTGCAGAACGCTGTTTGCAGTACAACAGTATTTACTTTTTGTCTTAATGTTGTTTACTTTTTTGTTTATTAATGAGCTGACATTTTTTAAGAACTGCAACTCCCAAGAACTTTCTTTAAGTAGTAGCTAATTTGGAGCCAGTCCTTGGGTATTTACATTAGAGCAGTTTTTTTCCATTCATTATTTTGCACTTAAAAACACTGGATGTTACACACTATCTTACTGCCCAGTCACCAGTCATGATCTTCGGTTTGTTTGGGCTCACAGAACAGTTGACTGGCAGCAGAGCTACGCCTGCGCACAGTCAAATTCCACACCCTGTGAGAAGTAGAATATTGAATACGTGTTGCATCACACTGAAAAACTGTATTACTGCCTCTAAGATGTCTTCCTGGTAGTTCATATCAGCTCGTCTGCTATGAGGGTTGCTGGTTTCTAGCGATCAGCAGCTTCTTTTCACAATTAATAGCCAAGATTCAAACTGTTCAGTTTGGTAAGAAAAAAAAAATCCTATTTTTCTAGTTCAGAAAATCCGGCCCTTTACCAAGAAGTTTTTTCAAATAAGGCTGAGCAAGTCTGATTCAAATGGATCCACAGTTCTCGCACAAATATTTTGTATGGAGTGTTGCAACTGTAGATGTTTAGGTAACTGCGCTGTGGCACAGAGGGTACAATTATACTTACCTGGAGCCATCAAATGGGACTTAACCTGAGTTGAGCATTTCAGCTGGTTGCTTTGTTCCACAGGTTCAGTCTGGGTTTTTTTACCTTAAGGGAATCTCTTCAAAGCTAGAAATATTTTTTGTTTACTCTTGGTGGACCTGAGAAACTTTATTTTTTTACAAAAGTTTTTTGGCTTCATGGTGAACAACATTAATGAATAAAGACAGATAAAAACAAACCTTGATTCAGTGGTATTTCTGAATCTTTCATTTCCCCATCGATTTTACTGTCTGATGGTTTTCCCCAGGATTTTACATCACCTGTAAGTTACTCTGGATACAGCTTCTCTCGCGAAGCAATTGTATGAGAGATCCAGCCTGAGATTCCCACAGTTTCTGACGCAGTACCGAAGCTCCTTCCCCTCCCAGCTGGAAGGCTCCAGCACAGCCTGTGCCCTGCCCAGCTCTGCCCTGGGTCCTGCCTCAGCAGCACAGTGTCCTTCGGCCTCCAGCACGTAGCTGAGGCAGCGGCGTGGGCGCGCAGGTGTCCAGCCCCTTGGATGCCTGTCTCCTTTTGCAGCTTTTTCACTGGCAGAAACCCGTTTCAAGTCCTGTTCCAAGTATAGCCCTGCCCCCAGTACACGACCTCTTGCCCTGCTCCTCTCCCCGATACGGTAGTGACCGCAGGGACTTGTTCAGCACCAAGTATTATAGCATGGCAGTAAGCGTTTGGATGAGGGAATAAATGAAATCATATATTAGAGAGCTGCTTTTTCAAGTGTAAACCAGATTATTTCTTTTGTAGGTGTATGTGTGGATCTATGACCCTGTTCACTTTAAAACTTTTGCCATGGGACTTGTACTTGGTAAGTACAAGCAGGTACTAGTGAGCACATCATGAATGTACGCCTAGTGTCAACAGGCCTCTCTGTCCCTGGGGAGGTTTGCCTTCAGTTTAAGCATGATTTGGTACCAATCATGTGAATTTTGATCTCAGGATGGAGAGGCTGCATGTGTTTAAAACAAACCAACCTGAAACATGCCTTAGCAAATGTCTGAACTTGCACAAGGTTGCAAGCTGTTTATTTCCGTTGCTTTAAGCTAACAAGTAAGTTGCCCAATAGTCAAATGTGGGTTATATAAAAATGTAAAAGATGTTAAAGGAATTATTTTAAACTGAGTGATACCTTTCTGACCCTAGAACTTGCATTTGTGTAGGATAAGCCAAATCAGTTAATTTTATTTTTTTTAATCTAAATTAGAATTGATGTGAACTGACGTCAGTGAGCTCAGAGATCGTTGTACTGCTGTCCTAATGCCCTTGACCTGTACCTTCCAGCTTCCTCACCCCGAGAGAGCCACCTGTCCTGAGAGTCCATGCCATCCATCCCTTGGGGCCACATTCAGGCCTTTGACCAGCCCCTGGGGCCACCACGATCTCTACCCAGCTCCCTGTGCCTGTGTCCTGCTGCTCTGGTTGTAGGCAGCTCCCTGCTTACATCTTTGCTCATGCCCTCTCCTCAGAGGTGACCTCTTTGCTTGGCTGACTAAGCACAGCGACCTAGAGTTGCTGGATGTGGTGTCTGCCTGCCCAGTACGAAAACAGGAGCAGTGCCACTAGACCAGGTTTCGGTCAAGGCCTAAAATACTGTACTGAAATATATCAGTAGCTCATGCTATGCTAAGCCTGTACCTTGACTAAATGGTAAGCCTAGAACCTTTATACATGTGCCAGGAGAAACTAATTGTGCTTCTCATGCTTTTCTTCTTTTATCTTTCTATGTAGTGATTGCCGTTATAGCTGCAACTCTGTTCCCGCTCTGGCCAGCAGAAATGCGTGTTGGCGTTTATTACCTCAGTGTAGGCGCAGGCTGTTTTGTTGCCAGTATTCTTCTTCTTGCCGTTGGTAAGTGTCGGTCATCGTCAGTTTATCTGCAGGTGAAGTCTAAAAGGGCGAGGCACGGCCTGCGTCTTAACCGTGGTCCGAGCGGTGCGGCTGCCTCGCTGCCCAGTGCGGTGGTGGTAGCAGTAGCCAGGCGGATTCCTGTGCGCATTTTGCTCCTGGCCACTGGGCGTCAGAGTTGGGCCGCTGAAAGAAAGAGAGCACACACTTGTGTCACCTGCTCGTGTTTCCTGTACAGTGTTTCCTGTATGGCCGAGATCGGTTTACTGCCTCTGTTTAAAAAAAAAAAATAGAAACCAACCCAAAAATGGGCAAAAGAAACCCAAGAGCTGTACCTAAGAACAAATTCAGTGGTGAGAGTGGTGTAACCAGGATTTTAAAGCTTTCTTTGGCTTGCATTTCTTCCGCGGAGGGGATTAAGAGCTAAATCGTAGATAAAATACATGGTTAGTGGCGCGGGGGAGACGTGGTAAGGACAAATTATTCCACGCTGCCGTTGCAGAATGAGAGATTTTCCCCCAGGGTCACCCCTGCCCCTGGCTTGGGGTGGGTGTTAGCAGTGGATATTTCTTACACCATAGTTGTACAGTGTGGATGTTTATAATAAAACCAAACATTTTCCTTTTCCATACAGCTCGCTGCATCCTCTTCCTTATCATCTGGCTCATCACTGGAGGAAGGCATCACTTCTGGTTCTTGCCAAATCTTACAGCAGACGTGGGATTCATTGACTCCTTCAGGCCCCTGTACACACACGAATACAAAGGACCAAAAGCAGACTCAAAGAAAGAGGAAAAGTCAGAATCCAAAAAGCAGCAAAAATACGACAGTGAGGAGAAATCAGATAGTGAGAAGAAGGAAGACGACGATGGGAAAACAGAAGCAACGAGGAACTTGGGAACAGACGGCTCGGGAGGAGAGCGACATTCAGACACTGACAGTGACAGGCGTGAAGACGACAGGTCCCAGCACAGTAGTGGAAATGGAAACGACTTTGAAATGATCACAAAAGAGGAACTGGAACAGCAAACAGATGAAGAGGATTGTGAAGAGGAAGAGGAGGAAGATACCGAAAGTAGGCCTTCACATGAAAAATCATAACTCACTGTGGTTTGGGGACTAAGTATGTGCAAATGGTTGGATTTTCTTTGTTGGCTGATCACCAAAACATAGACCATACAGTAGCGTCTTTGTTTGCTGAAATATACGTGTTACCAAACAGTTTTATATCTAGTTCCTTCATTTTTTTAACCATTAACTTGATTACTTGGTACTATGTTAATCATTAATATCCATTTACGGAAGTTTTATCAATCTGACAAGTTTTCTATTGATTGATAGATTGCCCAGATCGTCCTCAAACATACTGAAAAACATAGTTTTCTGGTACTTGCATAACTGGTCGATTAGTTTAGCTTCTCAAACTTGCTTTTGTAAAACAGGTAAAAGTTGAATGACCAAATTATTCCTAGTTATACTCATTTGATAGCTAGTTAAGTGAAGCCCTTCTTAGCCCACAGCTTTCTTGATATTTTTCTTGATTTTATTTTCAAAAGATTGTGAAAACTTTCCTAAGAAAACTAGTTTTAGCAGAAGTATTTACTGAAAATGTAAAAAGCTGGTAGTGCTGCGTTTGGCTGCAGTGTTCTGTGTTTCTCCAGACTGTGTGCCAGCAACTGAGGAAATCCAAACTGGTTTTGTACATCTGGTTCAGAGAAAGATGTCATCTCCAGCAGGTGAAGGAAGCAGCACCGTTTGGAAATTACGGCTGTTTTTTTTCTCCTGCTCCATCATAATTAAAAAAAAAATGTATTCTGTACATAATTTACAAATAAAGCAAACCATTTACTTTAACTGCTACTTATTATTTAGAGATTTGATCCGGCATTCAGTTTGTATTATTGAAGCCATTTTGTGGTGTACCTATCGGAGAAATGCAAGTCAAGAGGACCTCACAGAATATTTGTGTATGATTGGTAGCTGTTCCACAAGAGCTTTAGTTTTGTGCCAACATTCCATGTATCTGAGTAAATTGATCTTTATTAAATTAAAGCAAACAACATAGCTGTATGTATGCCTTAATGTTAAAACTTTCTATATTCTAGAACTGGAATACTTTTTAAACTGAAGAGGCAGGAGAGTGTTCATCTGTTCAGAAATGTAGGTAACTCGAAGCTGATATGAAGTGGTCATTAATAATTTGTTTATAAATATCTTGGAGTAGTCTGTGCCATTTCTCTTGCGCATCTCTTTCTGCTGGATGGTTGGAGGATGTACTGTATGTTTCGGTTAACAAAACACACATTTGAGAAGTTAAGACTTAGCATCATTCCTCTAGATGACTTCAACAGTAACTATAGACTTGATTGTCTCCTGAACCCACTCAGAGAAGATAAGGGTAAGCTTGACGTTCTAATAACTGACTTAGAGAACTTTCTTCATATCCTAAATTGCTTCCCCTTCCCACCAGCATCAGCATTTTGCATGAAGATAATAATTTTTCAGACTTTGCAAATATGTAAATCATAAGGGGTGCGCTGATAAACAATTCATGGATATGAGGTAGTGCTTAAATCTCCTCAATATTTACTCCATAAGGGAACAGATAAATTGGATCACTTTTTTATTAATCGAGCAAAAAATTAAAGGGCCCATTACCTGAATGGACTGACTTCTGGACACTTGTGTGTTATCACTGATTAAAGTAGCTAACGAAGTCCTGTCACTGTCTGTAGTACCTTATGAGATGGGCGTAACATAACTGTGAAGGGTCTTGACCAACAGCTGCCTCTTCCCTTGCTGAGCAGCTGGTGTAAGACACTGCTCACACAGAGGCTAGTTGCCTTAGTGCTTGTGTTTCACACCTTCCTGTCCGGTGTTGCGGACAGAGCTGCATTTCTTTCTGCGCAAGAGTCTTCAGCTTGTTGGTGCGGTACCGCGTGGTATGTCTGACCTGAAGAGCGAGTGCTGCAGCTTGCTTGGTAACTTGCTGTTAACCACGCACGTGCAGAGTTTCAGAAGTCTTCTCTGTACTGAAGGCACCCTTGCAGTTCATTAGGCTAGACTCCTGCCGAGTCCAGGGGGAGCTGACCTTTTGCATGCGTATCCTCCAGAAGATGAGCACTGGGAGAGCACTGCTGTACACCGAGTGCAGCAGAAGGCGTGCGCTGGCAGCGTGTCTAGCAGTGGTTCACAGCAGGCAGCTGAGCTACTGCCAGTTTCTGAAGAAATGAATGCAGAGGATTTCCATTGTTTCAAGTACATTTCCTCCTAAAAGTGAAATAACATCATCAGGGCCTTGCTGAGAAAATAAATTTGAAATGGCCAAGTAATAAATATGGCAGTAATGGTGCCGGCTGCTTCCTGTTAAGTGGATGTGTGCGATGGGCCAGCGCTGCCCACCCGTGGCCTGGGGACAACTGCGTCTCAGAATTGAACATTTGTACTGGCACCTCAGTACAGTTCCAAGCTCACACAGCTGTAGAAATTGAATTAGCTTTGAACTCTCACTTGTGAAGAACTCTGAATCTTCTGAAGAAATAAGGGCAAAGAAAGAGATCTTGTTGGAGCTGTTCACTGGTTAAAGGGCTTCATGACCCATTACTGTAAGCAACAATTTTCTACAAATACTCCCCAAATAATTCCAAATTATTTTAGAATGAGATAAAGAGAGTGATTGCAACATGCCAGTAATAATAAAATTGGGAGTGGACTTACGGTATCGTGACAAACACTTCCAGTCCAAAGAGAGAAAATCACAAGAGGTACTTGGCCACGTTTAGTTATTTATCAGGACACTTTCATATCAGGTATTTCAAAGTTCTTCTTACTGATTTTGACTTTTAAGTTCCAGAGGCAAGGGTGACCTTATGGGAACAACAACATACATATATATATATTTAGTGGAAAGTTATTTAAATAACTATTAAAATAATGTCCTTCCTGTGATAAAATTTTATAGTGGTCTTACTGATATTCCTCCTGGTATTTTATATGCCAAGTGTAATCTTCTGATTATTTTTCTTTGCAAGAAAATATGATTATTCCTAACTTTTTAAATTAAATAATTACTAGTAAAACATGAATGAGTATTTAACGCAGATCAGTATTTAGTGGAGGCGTTACACCTAAGTATGCTCTGCTCCAGTATGGATACAGTAACCTCGGCTCACTTGTGGTGGTCCGGTGTTCTTAAAGAAAGGCAGATCTTTCTCTAGCAATTAAGAAATAATTGAAAATTATTCTTTGACAAACTTGCATATTTCTTTATCTGTAGAAATGTTACAGTGCTGGTTGGATGCTTGTATCTGTGCTGATAAGCAATTTTCTGATAGCAAACTACTTTTTTGGCAGCTGCTCAGGGGGAGCATTTACTTTCACCTGCTGTATATCATACAGCAGATTTTTCTGTGTTTTTAAAATATATATATTTTATAGTATATATATATATATATGTTTTGCTCATTTAGGCCTGTTTCAGTTTCTGTCTGAAATCAAGACCGGATGGAGTTCAGAGAGCATCACACAGCATGAAGGGCAGATAAAGAAAAATGGAGAATGTCTCAGTTCCCCACTCAAATCTTAAATTACACTTTAACCAGGACTCGCCTTCCTTTTGTTAGAGCAGGAGAAAGGTTGACAGAAGCATCTGCCTTATGTAAACATTAAATGTAGCATTGTGGAAAATACACCTGCCTGGCTTAGCCCCCTATTTTCCTTCCTGCAGCCACCTGCATTTCTTGCAGTGTGTGGCCTAGGCTGTAAGAGCCTCGCAGGGTTGCTGTCTGGCTCCTCTGAGAACAGAATTCTTTTCTAAAGAGGGTCACAATGACAGCAAAGTCATATTCAAACCTCACAGCTGGCATCGAAAGCTCCGGGCGACAGAGGAATATCCTCTTCCAGCTGCAGTTGTTTTACTGGCAGCAGTTGGAAGCCCCCCTCAGAAACCCTCTTGGATCTGCTGGCAGATTCAGTTCTAGTGAGCCCAGTTCACAGAGCAAATCCTTTACGTCCACCTTGCTGTTGGGCCCTGCCCTTCTCTTCCCTCACGCAGTTGCTGAGCTGCTCACTCCCTACTAATCCCACGCCGCCATTTATCCACTCCAGCCACAAGCCTAAGCAACTGACGAAATCAAATCCACCTAAATACCACCTGGAGAAAAGACCACTGTGGAAGCGTTCAGTACCAGCACCTACCATTTTGTTCCCTGGAGATGCCTCAGCGAGGACAGAAGAGCAGCTTCCCCGTCACGGGGTGTTCCAGAGCCCAAACGAGCTCTTGGTCCCTGTGGGCCTGACTGCAGATGACACAGCCCAGCTGTTCGCTTCACAACAGGACGCGTCCATCCGCTCATCCTGTCCCCAAAAGCAGCCTTATCCCCATCTTGCTGCCCTGGTTGCTATGCACTGCCAGTAGCTCGGGGTCAAAGACAGCATTTTCGAGTAACGCTGCGTCCCATCCTGCCTGTTGCAGAACAGACACGGGCCCCGCTCTGCACCAGACTGGGGGAACAGCCGGGCTAAAGCAGCGCGTTCATGGCTTTGGCTCCAGGCACCAGGAAATTTTTTATACTGGTACCAGGGAGGTGTCGAGTCTGTAAGCCAGTGGCGCAGAACCCTAACACGTGGATCCGACGGCAACAACCGGTGATTTTAAAACGGTGCTGGCCCTTAAGCACCCCGTGAAAGATGCTCTGGCCTTAACTCACTTATCAAGGGAGAGCTGAGTCCTTTTAACTTCCAAATTCACCTCCCTCTTTCACTCCTCCTGCTCCTCAGGTTGGTTCTTGAAGAGAGGGAGCGAAGGGCCGTCTCAAGCCAGCTGGACACACCTGTGGGATGGGCTCAAAAAGACCGGTTGTGAAATAAAGCGAAGCAGAGCAGACGCAGGATCCTAAGAGCTAGTGGCATCTCTGGCTTGGCTTTACTCATGGCAGGCCGAACTGGGGACGCCAAAGCCATTTGCCAACAACTGCCTGAGTCACACGGCAGCGTCCAATTTCAGATCAACCTTTCAGATACAAAGGTTCTAGACATACAGCTTCTACACATATTATTTCTTGGAGTTCTAGAAAGCTTGTGCTTCGCTTACTTCCTTACATTTGAGTCTAAATTCTTCATGGAGTTGCACTGGGGTAAATCCAGAGTAGATGCACAAATTTGTAACATCGCAAGAATGGGGCGGGAGACAGCCTGGCGGTAGTTTTTCTGCTCGCACTGGGCGGTCAGAAAGGAACACTGCAGCAGGCGATGCTTAGGGACTGCGGTCCTCACGCTGCGCCTTCTGCCCGCAGGCCTACATAGCGCTGCATTCCCTAGCTGCTGTGCGAAAGGAGGGCTGTCACTTACTGCTTGGCTGACACTTCACCCAACTACTTCTCATACATTTTTAAAACGAAGCCTAGAAATGTTTGAATCATGCAAGTTTGAACAACATTCCTGATTATGCAGTTTTCAGCAGAAAGTCTTTATCAACCATTTTCCAGTACCCAAAGTGGCTACGGTTATGATGCAAGTTCTTCGTGGTTTTAATGTGAGATCTACAGTTCGGTATTTAGCATGAAGATTATTGCTGGGGTTACCTTTTCTTTGAAATTAGGCGGCTCTTGTTAGGAACTACAGTCTGATCTGTGCAAGAGTCTCCACCTACTTGCCAGCACAGCTATGTGATAGACGTATGGACTTCTAAATACAGAAGAGAAGGGAGATCCATTCTGTTAGGGACCTTTAGAGAGAGTGGTGATATAACTGTATCGAACAAGGCCGACCCCCAGCCCACCCCAGAGGATTCCTCAGGCTGCCTAGGCATTTTGTCTAATAAGAAAGGTTGAGTGATTTGATTCTTAACCACTCTGATCAATCCCTCTCTATAAAATCAGGACAATACAGTAGATCCTTACCTGCGTTACCGCTGTGCTGTACAGGTGTATAAGCTGATGTTCACAAAACACTTAGCTGTAAGACCCGGGACGCTGACTTCCAACGAATTTTTACAAGCCATAGGTATTGTTGAGCACGATTTCTTACTGATTCCAAAGGAGCTAGAGGGCAGTGGTATGAAACGGTCCAAGGCTCTGCTGTACACTAACACAGCACTGTAGCTTTCTCGCTTAGAGCCGAAGGAGAAGGACAAAACAATCCTACCAGTGTAAATGAACTGAGACGGAGCAGCTGCTGAATGTTTTCAATAGACTTCCTGGTAATGGCTGGTACA